AATCTGAAGTTTAATAGGCAGTGGCCTCCTCATGGGCTTTTTTTGCTTAGCCACAGGTTTTGAGCTACCCTCACAGATGACCATGAACTCTCTTTTTAAACCCCTTTTCTGAAGACAAGGAAATGCAATTTGTCAATCTATGAATGCAGAGCATTGGATTTGCAATTTATTATTTGTTGTCGTACCTCTCCAAAATCATAAGGACCAAAGAAATATGAATAGAAAACTATTTTACGGTTCTTATCTTCTTGTGGTTTACTTTTTTCCCCCACAGTGATCCACAGCTGTCCTCTGTGTCAGTACTTCTCAACATTTTCTAGTGCAAGGACCATCTACCCTCATTGAAAACCACCCAGGGACTGTCTTGTACAGCCCTGTGACAGTGGTTTCCATTTACTATCATGTAAGAGTTGGTTCAACTGAGAACAGCCGTGTATTACTCTCATTTTCTTCTATCTGTTTTGCCTACCTGCTGAATGGGAGCGTGTGTTCAGTGTTGAGTTTCTCATGCCTTCTTCCCTTTGGAGGTTTGGGTATCCTGTTACTGTTTGGCAGTCTGTCTGCAGGCCACCAGTGGTGCATGGGCCCTGGGTAGAGGAGCACTGCTCAACATCTCTTACTAAAGCAAGTCACAAGCTTGAAGATTTCCACCAATTTTCATTGCCAGAAAACTTTTTTTCCCCAGCCAGTATTTAGTCTGTACCTTCCCCATCTTCACATCCCATTGCTCCTGTCACTACTGTTGAACTTTATCCGGAATAATCCCCTCCTTGGCACCAACCCCCTAGTTTGAGTACTCTTTCACCTCTTTCTTGCTGGTTAGCTGTTACTCATCCTGTAAACCGGCCTTCACCAGTCGTGTTTTCCTCCTTCATAATAATGTTGTTTCTCCCCGGGAATGGGGCAGTGCTCTGAGAAGGCTCCTTGCCACCGTGCAGAGGATTGCTGCCTGTCGCCCACGACCGGTTAGTGCCATCTTCCCTCCTGTCTTCTGGGGTCCCACTGCAAATGCTCCCCCGGCGTCTGCAATGAAAGCGATCCCAGCTGTGATCTCCATTCAAAGGGGATGGAGGTATAAAGTGTAGGTAGCAGTGGAAGAACAGAAAAGACAGTTGAAAAAAGACTGACATTGCGAAGAAATGGGGATGGCGCTGAGAAAAAACGCAGAAAGTAAAAAAAGGAGAGAGCGAGCTTTCTATGGTATCAGATATTCTTGAAGGGAGAGTAATTTAAGGAAAATATAGAAAGCAGACACCACAAAGTTTGTGCCAAGGCATACAATAAAAACGAGGACAAAGACGGGGGAGGAACACAGTGACAGCATTTTGAATTTTAAATTTAATTATGATGTGTTGTTTCTAATAACAAAAATGCTACAGATATTTTTGGTACTTGTCTGAAGTGAGAGCTGAACCCTCTCTTGATCTGAAGAATCTTTCTTTCTTGCAATTAAGTTGGCAGTTCTGGACCTGACATGGTCCACCTGGAGTCCTGGATGTATTTCAAAGGCAGGTCTCTGAGAGACTATCAGGCACTTAGAAAAAGAAAGAAATACCACTGTCTAACTGTCCTCTATAAAAAAGTACAGCCTCTTGAATCACAGCAGTCCTTTGACTTACGGAGAGATTTTTCCTGCTGATAGCTTCGGTTCAGTAAAGGCTGCATTAAGGTAGGGTTAATAATTATGGTTATCTGTTTATCATGTGATTCAATGTATGAACCCAAAAGGAGGGTAGAAGTTTCGGATCCAAAGTGGAAAGCATAGAAATTGTGTTCGTAATGATCTTTTGGGAACTAAGGGGACTTCTGTGTAGGCAAAGATGGAAGATGAGGCAGAGTCTTTTCCAAACTTTCTGTTTTAGAAGAAGCCTCTTCCAGTCAGTGGCATCCCAACATACAGCTCAGAGCTGAGTCCTGATGGTAGAAGGAGTGGCAGCATCAGCTCCGTGCATGGGGTCTGGGTTGTACCACCTCTGTCTCCTGACACACATACAGTTACTTCTGCTAGTGGTGCACAGCTGATGCAACTCCATGGGAGGCGTGCCGTGGCTGTGGCCTCATATTTTAATAATTCTCAGACTGCTTTTATAGAAGCGTTTCATCCATGCGATGGCTCTCTAATGCAAATGAGAATATTGTTTGGTTTTAGACTGGAGGATTAGGCTGTAGTGTCAATACCAAAGGATCAGTAGTGGGGCCAGACTCATGTTGCCCGTTCTCACCTCTAGACTGTTTTGTTTATTTGTTTGTATATTTATTGCTGTCCTGTTTGACAATAGTTTTCCATGGTGACTAGTGAAGGCCAAGAGTCCAGTGCCTGACTACAGCTCAGTAAGATCCTGCTGAAGCAGCTTACCTTGGCAGAAGAGGGGAGGGTTCAATGTATCACTGGGTGTTCGTTTGCACTTCATGGATTGTGTGGTGTAGTTCCATGCCAATGTAAAACAATACTGAGATTGACCCTCAGTCATTGAATTAGGTCTGCTCTGGACCTCAGTGCAGAGAAGATGTACTGAGACTGCTGTCACTCTGGTAGCAGCAGCTTGGTGACGAGAGGATGCTCCAGCATGAGTTTGCCACCCTGGGAAGGAGGAGAGGATCATTGCTGGCAGCTGGTAGATTTTTTTAAAACCTACTGCTACCTCCAGAATTGCAGTGTGTGCAATTAAACCCAGAGCAACAGCTTTCTAGTTGTAGGCTGTAATGGAATCTTCTGTTTGTTTGTCCTCAGGTCTGGCTGTGAATTAATGGACTGTGTTAGAGGCTTCAGTGGGCTAAAACTGCCTTCTTGGTGGAGAAAATGCCAGTTCTGTGCAAAGTCAGCAGGAGCACTTTGAGATGCTAAGAGTCTTCTCTCTGCTACTTTTTGTTGATCCAGGTGGTCTTTTCTAAGTACAGAGTCAAAGAAATTACTGTTTGCCCCTTCCTTCATCTCCCCATGCAAGTGTCATGTAATCGGCAGGAACGCTGAATCCTCCCTGTCTCCCATTCCTGTCTGCATGGGAGAGAAATGGAGGGAAGTGAGATGGAACCGTACGTCCCTCTGGTCTGCACCCTGAAGGCAAAGTTATTTGTGAGCCTTCAGCATATGGGTGGGAGAGCTGCCAAGCCAAAGTTGTTCCCAAGTATCTGTAAACTAAATCTGATTCCTTAAATTCATCCAACTAAGGAACTCTCACTCTGGCAAAGGCTTGTAAATATTACAGTACCTGTCACTTTTGGATGCTGCTTTCTGTTTTCATAGCAGTGAACCAAAAGCTTTGAAGTCCGGGCTGTTTTGTTTAACTTTGTAGAGGTTGACCTCAAAGCATCAATCTTTCTGCTCCTTTTAGGGTGTATGAAAATAGCCTTTTCTTTTCGCAGAAAACATCTTGTAGCAACAGTATTGCTAATGGCCGGAGTTCTCAGATATTCTTGGAGCACTGAGGCATGTATTCAAAATATAGAGAGCTTTGCCTGTTATTTTCAGTGATTCAGTTTTCTGTGCTGTGTGAGGAAACGTGCATAAACGTGTACTTGTAATGAAGTGAAAAGCATTAATCTAAACAATGCTTATAAAGTGGTTTCTGACTCTCAGAGTACCTAGTTAGTTTTGCTGGGGTTTTAGTTTATGTGTACTTTCCAGTTCCTGCACCATCTGCACAGCGTAGCCTCCACCTGTTTGGATTCTCTGTCCTCGTTGGGATAGACGTGGATGGTAGTAATAATCACGTTTGCTTTTTTTCAAGACAAGTTGCTGGTTGATATAAACCTGTGACTTGAGTTTGCCAGATACAGTTGCTCCCATCATTTGTGCTGGTCTCTAGGTGCTTCTTGGAGGAAGGTGTCACACTGTTTCTCTTGAAATAAGTCTTGGAAGTGAGTTTTGGCAGACCTGTTCCAAATTGCAGTTCAGTACTGCACAGCTAACTGGAGTTATAACTCCATTTGTGACTCCAACGTTAACCTGGCCATAGCTCCATGGAGGCAGTACTTTTAAGGCTGTACTCACTGAGGAGTTGGATAGTTGCTCTTACTTGGGTGATGTTCTTGCTTTGACTTTGTCAATGCGCGCACAGTTTTTGTCTGAAAGTCTTGGGGTCCGCTAACCTGTCCCAGAGCCATGGCTGAAGCCAAGGTCCTTTTTGCACTTGAAATTGCAACCCAGCCCTCTTGAGCGACGGAGCTCAAGTAGTTTGAGTCCCACAGTGCTTTCCCCCTTTCCTGCTGCATTCCTGGAGGAATCAGAGTTCTCCTAGAGTGAACAGGACATGAATCCTAGAGCAATTGAGTCACTAAGGGCTGGGGTTTGACTCCAGCCTTCCTGCAACGTCATGTGAAGAACCACAACATCAGCAGAAACACCCTGGAGCAGAACTACTCTGTTAAATTTTACTGTGGTTTGCCATGTTTTTTCTCTTTAACCGAACTTGCCAAGGTGTCTCAGTGGTGCTCTGACTGCCTTTGCCAGACCAGATGCTCACTGCTTTCATGGCAGAGAGGTCCCAGTGGACAGTGGGACGTATTACATGGCTGGCACCTTGGCTGAAGTAAATCCACACTGGAATCTGCCACCTGAGGGGCCCTACAGTAATGATGGCTTTGTGAGATTGCCTACTCCAGCCACCCTTGCTGACCATTCAGGTTTTTTTAAAATGGTTTAGAAAAATTATGCTTGAAGGCATAATGTTAAGAGCCAGGATCCCGACTGCTTTTCACCTCACTGGCTAAGTCTCGTGCAGCTACATAGTCCTAAGCAGGGGATGGGTTTTGCTGCCTAACTGTGAAAATATGGGCTTTATATTTCCAGTTAGTTTATCTGAAAATTGGGCCTTTCTTTTTCTGAAATGTTTCCAGAAACCCAAATTCAGGCCTGGCTGATAATCTTTCCAGTGCTTTAATATCAACTGTTAAAGCAAAGCTGACTATCAAGAAGCAGTTAGTGTGGAGATAGCTGGTAATGATGCAGCTGAGAAGCTAAACCCCCTCATCTCCATTTGAGTCTTCTTTTTGTCTTGCAGATGAGAGGATCTGTTCACCACCCTTTATGGAGCTGACAAGTGCCTGTGGAGAAGATACCTTGCAGCTCATAGAGAAGAATGGACTGGCATTCCCTTTCAGTATGTACATGGGCTTTTCCTTGGTGCTTCTAGTAGGTTCTGAATATTGCACATGCACCCGCCAAGATGTAGCCAACACTGTAGGAGTGTGGGTTTCATTGCCAAAGTGCCAGGAGTGTTGAAACCTTCCTGGAACAAATGCTCTGAAGCAGTGTGCTTGGAATGTGGAACCAACCCCATCCCTATCTGCTTTTACTTTGCATTTTGTTCATGTTCTTTAAACACTTCACTACAGTAAACATGCCTTCCCGGGAAATGCTAATAGTTCTAACAAAGTTACCCTCTTGCCCTGAACTTGTGAAAGACATTTCTCCTGCTAGCTGCATTCATTATTTTTCTTGAGAAAATCACTGCCTTGCTGATTGCCCTCCTTTTTCACCCATACCTGCCTTTCCCTAGTCCAGGCTGCAAGATAATCTGAAAGAGTAGAAGAAAGAGTAAAAATTACCACCAATAGCAGACTGCAGGGGCCCACAGCCTCAAACAGCCGCTAGGAACTGTTTGTGCTTTGTAGCAAGTTTCATTGGGGAGCTTGTGCTTAAATTTGTTCCTTTATTTGATTCCATGCAGTATAAAGTGAGCAGAATTGCTTAGTTGGTGTTTATTCCTTTGGTGTTTGCCTCATTTATAAAGTTCAGAGGTAAAGTTGTGGAAAAAAGCATGTTTTTCCATCTCTGCCATTGCTCTCCCAAATGAGGCAGGTTTCCTGAAGCTAGATTGTGAAGCAGTAATTTAAAGCTCACTGAATGGCTTTGACCTCCCTTCCTCGCCCATGTACATTGTCTTCTCGGTACAGGCTGGCTAGTGCTCAGTGGTCAGCAGCATAGTCCATGTATTCAGAAGGCCTGAATGAACTCCTCTAAACGAGGATGAAATTAAAAAATAACATTGAAAATCAATATAACATGGTATTGTGGGAGTGCTTTTTTGTCTCCTATCTCTCTTTATTTAAAAAAAAAAGACATGCTCCTGCTCTCCAGAGCATATGTTTGTGAGATATCATATACCACCTTCCAAAATTTCAAGTTAGCAACTTATTTTGGACTCTAGTGCAGGTCATCTGCTTGCCTGACATTTTGACTTTTCCAGTAACCCCCAAACTCTCAATGTCTTGGTCTGGTGAACTCCAGTGCTTGCACATGTGGGTGGGAACTGATTTATAAGGGTTTTGTGTGTCCTGTTTCAGTGTTTCATTGTTTTTTTTCTATTTACCCAGTTTGTAAAACCAGAGTGGCCCATGGAACCAACTCTCACGAGGTGAGTTTAAGAACTTTTGCAGTGTTATCCCCCTGCTTCCAGTGCCCCCATGGTGGTTTGGCCGGTGCTTTCCCATCCTGTAGTAGGCAGAATGAAGGCTATGCCCAAACAACTTCCCTTGACCTGCCTCTCCCATTTGTTTAATTAAACCATTATTTTTTTCAGATTTATCTGAAATGAAGTTAAATATGACTTTAACCTTTTGACATGAAAGTTCTTTCTAGCAGTTTCTAGCTCCTGTCATGTAGTTTCTTCTAACAGTTTGTGGTCTCCAGTCAGCTCTGTCTGTAAGGAATCTCTTTCAGCTTCTTCTTTGGTGGGAGGTCACACTAAGTGATGTTTCCACCCCACCATGTTTCTCTTCCAGCATGTATGTGATGCAGGTGAGAAACGGTTTTGTGCTGTAGGTGAAGCAGAAGTATGAGTGAAAGCCAGCTGGTTCATTTCCATGGAGAGAAGGGAATAGCAAATAGGGACCGTTTTTAGGCATGTTCAGTTGTAATAACATGGCTGGAGCTGTGGGAAGAACAGGCTGGTAGAACTATCTGCTTTCCCTCCTTCCCGTAAGGCAATTGCGGGTAAAATGGTTGTGTATTCCTGGAAGGAGCGTGTTCCCTATGAACCTAGCTTCCTCTAAATTTAGGCGAGCTGAGTCCTGTTTTAATTCTTTTCCATTTGTGCTTCCTGCCTTCCTGCTCACTGCTGCTCAGTTTTGAGAATCCAGCCCTCACTGCTGGCTCTCGTAACGCCTGGCTCCCTTTGTTAACAACGTGGTCATCGGTCCAGGTTTCCCAGCTGCTCCTGAAATGTGCAGCATGTTCCTGCAGCGTCTCTGAGAGGTGAAGGCTGTGAAGTAAAATGTAAATCTAGACGAGCAGAATGCCTACCACTGAAATTTTGAGTGACCAGCACTTCCTTTTAAAAATGCGGCTAGATTTTTCCTGCAGGCCTTAGCTTGGATCATTTTACAAGCGTGACAGACTGTCCTGTTAGTTTGTCAGAGCAGCAGCTATAAATTTTTGCTGTCATGCCTGAGAACACTTGGGGACTGGATTGTGAATTAAAGACTCCAGCGTCCTTGCCGGTTTTTCTGTAGAAGGTTTCTCTCCGGCCTGAAATGCATGAACCTTTCAGTGGTTGTCCAGTCAGGCTTGGACTTCATTTCCCTGGTGAATCTTTCTTTGCTGTTCTTTCATACAGGGCAGACATACCTCAGCCTCCTGCCAGAATTCCATTTTCTGAGCAAAAGTTAGACTAAAATACAGTTGTAGCCTGCACTTTATCACATGAACTTACAAATAGAGCCTAGGAGGACCCCTGGAAAAAAGCCTGAAGTCTTGCGTGGTACTTTACATAGTTAGTAGTAGTAGTCACTTTTGGAGTTGCTGAGTTCTCGGGAATGATCCAAAAGTGTATTTATGATCAGAGAGGAACTGTCTTGTAATTGCTATTTTATCACCAATAATGGCAAGGGAACTGTAGAGTAAATACTCTGCTTGCAGTACAGTTTGTCTAAAAGATGGAGCATAGGTCTAGAAGCAAGAAGTTGTTGCCTGTTTTATTACAGCCTCCTTCTTTAGCTTTTGGTAAATTGCTTCCTTTTCAGTAGAAATATTCCGACTGCAGAGCTGACACTGGAACTAGAACACAGGCTGACCAGAAACCTGCTTTTCTTCAAAAGATGACTGTTCAGATAGTTCAAGTACTGGCTCCTGGGGTCAGCTGAAGGCGCAGGCTTGAGCTTGAGTTTGGTGCCAGCCAAGGCTGGCAGACTCCACATTGTGCTGTGAAGCCATGAGCCAGTTAAGCCAAGGTGCTCTTAGTCATCTTGTGGTGCACCAGGGTTCCACGTGGCCTCTGCACTAGAAGTTGCATTGGCCAGCTCAGCACTGGAAACCCGCTTTGCCAGCACTGTTTGTGAGACTTGAACAGAGATGATGCCCGAAGGTTCTCCTTCCAGGTGCCCTCAGGTCAGAACATAACTGACCTTTGGTAAAGCTGCCATGAGACATCACAGAGACCCATAACCTGAAGAGAAGAAATGTGTCCAGAATGACTCTTTTTCTAAGCGTTGAGCAGACAGGAATGAAAAGGCAGAGAATTGCTGTGGTTTTGAGACTGAATTCCTTAAGGACATTGTCAGTAAAAATTCTTGGTGCCAAATGTTTTGTTTGCCTTCAAAAGAGCTCTGCATTTATAATGAGGAATGCTATTTGGAAATTATGATATAAAGTATTGTTCCCATGTTGCTGCCAGACACAGCAGGTCTGTGCTAGATAACAAAGAGCAAGTGCACCCTGCAAGCGAGTTCTTGGAGCTGTATTCATGCATGCTAAAAACCATAAGACATCACGGTGAGCCAGAATAACACAACACCATGGGAGTTACAGGGGTTGTGTGCTAGTCCATGGGGCTGTTGGCACAGAGCTTTGCAGAAGAGAAGTTTCACATGGTCTCCAGTAGCCTGGGTCAGTTCAGTGCTGAGAAGATAAACTCTCTGGTTTCCACGCTTCTAAAACAGGATGATAAGTACATGCTCATCTTAGGAAGGATTGGTTGGTGGGGATTAATTAACTCATATTCGAAGAGAACACTATAGGAACAGCACAGTTCTTGCCAGTGTGATGTTGTAGATACAATAATGCCTACAGTGTACACAGGAGGAGGAAGAGAGCCGTGTTTCTTGCCACCAGTGAGAGATTGATGAGGTACGATGTTGTTGCGGTGAATCATCTTGATGGATGATTCTGCTGGTTAGAGTAGGTTTCTTGCACAGGTTTTTACCACTCACAAACTCACTCTGTGCTGTCAGATAGATAGCACGTGGTATAATAGAGACACAGTAAGAATATCAGCTGCAAGTAGGTATTGAACATGCACATTCACTTGAACTCAGAAAATGTTAATCCACTGAGTCGTGCATGTGTGCAGACAATTATGTGATCTAATGTGGTCTAACAGATAAGGAGGATTAAGGACAAAAATGTGCTCAGACTTTTACTATGAATATGTAAACAGTGCATCATTTACCGTGACTGTGTTTTTGAACAATGAAACATATTATATTTACTATTTTTATTACAAGAACAAGCTAAGATATTAGCAAAAATTCAGTCTGAAAGTGCAGTGTACATCAAATTAGCAGCTGATCATATATAATACATGAGAGAGAGCACAAAGTGATGAAGTTTCTTTGTAAAATCCTTCCAGTGACCCTGACTTTGCTAAGATACAGCTAATCTCAAAAGGCATGAAAACTGACAGGAAGCATATGGAAAGAGTATGCAGTATAACTCATCTGCATCATGCAGATTTTATTCTGGATATCACTGTGGACCCACAGGAATTCTCTTTAGCCTCTCCGGACTGTCTTGCATGCTGAGTAAAACACTAACCCCAAACAGGCCAGTGAGAAAATATTAACAGGCATAAGAAAAAACTTGTGTTTCAGAGCTTAGGAATTTTTCTGGCAAGTGTTGTGCTTCCTGCACTGACTGAGGTACACAGCAGGCTCAAGTCTTGGATGGTTAGCTGTTGCCTCCAAGGCTCTTCAGAGGGGAAAGATGCTCTGACCACAGTATCCCTGCCTATGGGAGGGAGTTTTGCCCAGAGGAAAGGAAGATAAAATATACATCAGGTTCTCTGGCCTTGGACAGTTACTCATATTAAACCGACTACCAACACGGTGGCCTTTTTGCCACCATGGATAGCAAGGCCCAGCATCACTGGAGTAATAAAGACACGTCAATATTCAGATAACTAAAACATAGCTTTTTCAGGGCTTTGAGGATGGAGAGTAAACCTAAATTTGTCCTCACTGCTGTGTGAAGGCACACTGGTATAGAGTAATTTCATCACCTGTGCCAGAATGGTGCTTGCTGCCGGTTCGGTGTAGGAGCTTTGACAGCATCCACACTCCAACAGCAAACATACAAAATGGGGCACTGCAGTTATGATAATTATACATGCATGTAAGCTTGTTAATGTAGGGATCGATGGAAAGACCAGCATGGCATGTTCTGAATATATACTGGCTTGTCCAAATACTTCTCTGCACCTACCAGCGTTGCTTCCGTGCTGTTTGAGGCAGCTGTTGTTCATCACTGAGGCCCTATAAATGCCTTCCTTTTTGGCATATTTGTTCTAGTCCCTTCAAGAGGACTATCCATTTGGAGTAATGGGGTGAAACCAAGCTAAGAAAATCATTAGACTAGCCAGCGTTTGCTAGCAGTAAGAACTGCCAGAGTCTGAAAAAAGTTCTCTGATGACGTGGATGAAACCCTGGTTCTTAGGCCATTGCAACCGGACTGAACCCAACCACAGGAAACAGAGCTGTGGGGAAGAACTCTCATAGTTAGTGCATAGAGCTGTTCCTTCTGCTGTTCTCATGATACACAGGCTTGTATTCAATACAGACTTCCTCATCTGTGTTGGTCAAATGGTTTACCCCTTTGTTGTACCTGCAGTTGCAGTAGCTTCCCAACTAAAAGCAGTAAATGAAATTGCAAAGAGCTGAGAGGAAAGTGTTGATTGAGAATGAAAGCTGTACTGCCAGTAGTGTTTGGAGAGTGGGTGTCAGTGAAATGAGACATAATGAAATAGGACTAGCTACTGAGAAGGAATTCACACGTGGTCAATATATACCCACCAGTAGATGTTCCTCCTCACTGCTAGCCAGGTGGTGGGTAAATGTGAAATTACTGAAGGACCTGTGCACAACTGTGTGTGCGTGTTTCCAGATGGCGATCATCTTCAACCAGGAAGGCCTGAAAGCTGTCCGCCCCCCCTGCGTCATTCAGAGCTTCATCAATCACAACGCCGTGCTGTATAAAGTCTTCGTGGTTGGGGAATCATACACGGTGGTGAAAAGACCATCTTTGAAGAACTTCTCTGCAGGAATCTCAGGTACGTTGTGTCAATTCAAAAAGGAAAAGTCAGCTCTCGGAGCCTTGGCAGCAAACAATTCAAAAGAAAAATATCCTTGGAAAGGCTGTTGAAATGAAGGCAGATGGTTCTTAACTACCATGTTTCCTCTACTGTATTATTTCAATAAGAAGGGAGATAAATCATCTACTCTGGAGTACATATGAATGACATTCATGTAGTAAATATTTATGCAACAGTAACCTGAATCTTACCTGTTAGAAACAGTGTTTTATATCATGTGGAGGAGGGGAGAGGGAGAGAAATTCTCTAATTTCACAGTAAGTTCATGTGTCATTTGTTCCGGAGTTTGTTTATAAATGTGCTTTAGAGAGAATTTCCTGGATTCCATCATTTCAGAACTTCCTCTCCCTATTTTTACCTCGATTATGTACGTGTGTTTAAATTAAAGATTGCTTGTGCTCTCCCCTGAACGAGCCTCTCTGTTCACGTGAGGTGCAGTGTTGTAAACCTTGGTGGGAAGTGTCCTTTGGTTTGTAGATACCAGCTGTGTTGGGGGGAGGGAGGAAGGGATTTGTCAGTGAGGACACTAATCCTCCCTATATGTCACTAGACAGCAGCACTTGAAGGGTTTTCGTTAAACAATACTAAAATTTCCTTTATGGAAGAAAAGCAGTTCCCAAGAACTGCATTCTGTGGGCCTTCAGAAGCAAGAAGGAATTAGCAGGGTACGGATGGGAGCATGATCTGCCTGCAACTGGACAAATCCAGGAGGTGGAGATGGGAGGGGAGAAGGTATCAAACTACAGGAGGTGAATTAATAAATGCCAGGTTTTTGTCACTTTTCTTAGTGGTTTCTGCCGATCTGAGTATGTCCATGTGTGCTCACTGTTGTGTTCTGCACACAAATACATACATATGTTATCATATGTATAGTAGGATCCCAGTAAAAATCCTTATCTGTAGGTGGGTATGCCTGTATTTACATTTAGGTCCATTCTATGTCCTGGTCAAATTAAGTAGCCAGAATCTGTGTTTATATAAATTATTAGGACAGTTGGTCTGTACTTTTGCTGGAAGAGAACATCTTTAAGGCACCTTTATAAAAATGCCTTAGCTAATGTCTCATCCGTTGGTGTAAGTCTTGAAAGTTGCCTGGAAGTCCACATAAAAATAAGTTTTGTGGGCAGACGAGGATCAGTGTCTGGCTTTCTTACCCCTCCCCTCATCAGGAGAGTCTGAGGGGGCCATGGCACAGGCACCTGACTTGGAAGATCTGACAATTAAGCAGATCTGGTGTCTGTGAGGCACTGCAGGAGCTGACTGTCTGAAAGTACAGGGCCCTTCTAACTGGGAGGAAAGACAAGAAGAGTATATGGTGGTGTCAGAATGTGGAGGTGATTTGGGTTAGCTTTTCACAGCTCCCCCATCTTTATTGTTAGTGGCCCTATGGTTCCTCTTCAGTGTCAACTCAGAGAGACCAGCATAGCAGAAATACTCTATTGCTGGTGCCACCTGCCTGCTGAGGCTTGGGTCCAGGTGTTCCCATAGAGGTTGTCTGTATGATGCCATCAGTCTGCTGTGGTGGGAATCCCAAGGGGAGACTTGTGGTGGTGGATTTCTCCAGCAGTGAAACCTTCAGCACAGAGGAGGCAAGGCAGGAGGTGCTGGTACAATTCTCCCCATGGTTTCCACTGCAGTATGTTAGTAGCTTTTGTCACCTCAGGATGTCTCCTTGAAAGGGAGGGCCAGTCCTGGCCATGAAACGTGCTGCTTTCTTCCATGGTGACAGTGCTCTCCCCAGGTTCACAGAGCACTCTGGCTGCTGTCAATCTATTGCCCGCAGGGAATGCAGCTTCTCCCTTCTATCACATGCCTTCCCACTGGAACTGTCGCTTTGAGTGTAGCAAATAAGTAGAAATTAACTTCATTATCTTACTGCACTTAGTTAATTGGCCCTGGTGAAGTAAAAGAAACCAGTTTCTATTAACCCCGTGCAGTTCTGTTTGTCTGTGGTCCGAGGTTAGCCAAGCGTGGGTGCCCTGGTGGTGGGTGCCAGGGGGACCGCCCGGGGGGGAGCAAGACTCGATTCCGGGGACCACAGTGCCATCTACTGTTCCTTGCACTAATCCTTTGGAAATTAAAATCTGGTGTAAAGTTACTTAACAACCCTCTTTTCATTCCAGACAGAGAATCAATATTTTTCAACAGCCACAATGTTTCGAAGCCGGAATCCTCATCTGTCTTAACAGCAGTAAGTACACTCGGTCTTTTCATCTATAGTGCGGCTGGAAAACTATCTAGTCCTTTCTTATTGAAGCGTTAGTAGCTAGTGGCTCTCTTCACAAGTTGTCTGCTTCTGTGTTGCAGGCTGAGGTCTGTTTGGTACAACGAACCTGCATGACTGTGTCCCCCTCTGGTTTTCCTTACCGAGCTCCGGTGAGGAATCACTGATGCTGCAAGCCTGTGCTGCTTGCCAGGCCTGAACGCCCCAGAGCTAATCTAGGCAAAGGGAACAATGAGGTTCTGAATGCAAATACCTGGCCTTTTCCTGTCCAGAGAGCTTAATGAGCATAAATCATCCTTCTAGGACTCAGTTCTGTGAGGAAAGACAAACGGTGAAAATTGAAGCGGAGAAATTGCGTTGGGCAGGGCCACAGAGGGCGAGTAGCTGTCGATGGTGTGAGCACACCCGAGCTGTGACCATGGGACCATTTCTGGGTGTCTTCCGAGTCCAGCAGTGCCAGCACAGTGCACAGTTTCATGCTTGCATTACCAGTCCTTTTAATAAGCTTTAAGAGTATAAAAACAAAGAAGTTTTCAGGCATTCAGCTGCTGTGAAAGTCTCTTTACAGGACTGGGTCCTTTCAATCTCTTGAGTCTCCAAATTCTTTTCTGTTTCACAAGCTCTACTGGGGAGTAGTTTCATAGTCAGCAAAAAATGATTAAATTTGTGTTCAACACTGATAGGCATGCTAACTATTAAAGCTGTAATTGTGCTAGTCATAAATCTATTCATGGCTGAATTTACTTTCAAACTTAAGACCATATGCTCCCATGGTTTACCTGCCATCTCTCTCATACACGTACATACTCCATACACGCTTCTGTAGGTGTAACAGCATACTTCTGCTGCACAACCTGCTGTTTAAAAAGTAAAAAAAAATATTAAATCTTCCAGTCATAAATAACCTGAGGTTTTTGCCCTAATAAGTGTTTGTAGAATAACTTATACATGAAAACCCACATAAAAAATATCCCCTTTGAATTAGCCTCTGCCCTGAAGATACCAGCTGAGTTGTGTTGTATGGCTCAAATGAAACTAACAGCAGGAGTCTGGCTCATCAGTCCTTTCACATAGACCTTAATCTACATTGAAAGAGCAGAATGATATTTGCAGCACAGGGTTAAACACACCAGCTGCATTTGGTTTTTTAAGGTGTAGATCTCGTACTGAAAATAGTGATTCTGATTCTCCATTCATTCCTGTACTGCTGTATCTCTTGAGGAACTGCACCAGCAGGAAGAGGAAGAACTAGGTGCTTTAGAGCAGGTGAACTTCCAGTGTAGGTAGCTGCCTCAATTACGAAAGCAGTTTCTCTTTGGTGTCTTTCTCTGTTTCATGCCACCAGTTCTCTGCGATTAGATTTGGTGGATCTGCATCTGGAAACCCCTGAAAATTAATCTTTCCGCTACAAAGACTGTTTTGGAGTCCCTTACTAATGTGTCTTTTTCCACTATAGCTGGATAGAATCGAAGGAGTGTATGAGCGGCCAAATGACGACGTCATCCGGGAAATCTCCAAGGCACTGCGGCAAGCTCTGGGAGTTTCCCTCTTTGGAATTGATATCATTATTAACAATCAGACCGGGCAGCATGCGGTCATTGATATAAATGCATTCCCAGGTGAGAAAGGCCTTTCCACTCATGCTTTGTGGAACTCGTGCAGTGCGTGCTTAGTGTGAAGTGTCTGTGCTGGTGTCTTACATCATTACTTCCCAGGTGGGGGACAGGAGAGCAGCAGTCAAATTGTTCTGAGATCAGATACTGTTTAATCTGGGAAGGGCAGAACCTTCATCCAGATATGGAATGCTGATATGGAATGATACGGAATAGGAGAGTCTTTTAAGAGTTATTTTTTTCCAGATTCTGTGCACTTAAAAGTGTTGAGGGGGTGGAAGCAGCAAACTGTTCCCTTGAAAATCTCTTCCTGTGCAAATTGATTCCCTGTGAAAAGACATTTTGTGCACAAAAGCAACAGCACCAGGAATCCGAAGAAGATGTTAAAATTGTAGCTGCACAGAAGTTGATGTAAAGGGTTAAGTATCCTTGTACATTTCGTAAGTGGATCCTGAAGTAAAACAATAGAATAGAGCACATGAAAATGGGTAGATTGGTCCTACACTTTTTTTAGTGCAACATACGTCTCGCAAACAACTAAACAAGTTCCTTGACCACTGGAATTATTAAAAAGAGTTGTAAACACGTATAATGGGAGGCAGTAATGGTCTGTCACTTGTGCTAAACTCAGCAGCTAACACAGGAAACAAATACAACATCTCATTTGATGCTGTTTTGCATGGGGCTTTTCCCTTGGAGTGTCTCCTCTCATTACCTGAGTAGTGATGTTTGTTTTCAGATGCACAGGATGTTGCAGTTTGTTTAACCTGTCATTGAAGACTTTGAGTTTTCAGCATGGCTGAGATATCTTTACATCTAGAGATCTTGCCCTGAGCTCCCAGTCTTCTTAATCTTTCAGTCCGGGTCCTCAGTCCCACTACTGCCCTGTAGTGCCTTGCTGTGTCTGATTTCCTTTTAAAACTCCAGCCCTGCTATTCTCAGGTCACTTTGCAGCTTGGTTCTACCATATGGTGTTGATGCAATCTGCAGACCTATGAAAACAGTCTTCTGCCAAGAGCAGTGAAATAAACTAAATTGGGTGTCAGACGGAGCCAAATCAGCTTTATGAATGGGATTTTAATTCACACAAGGAGTCTTGAAGTCAGTGATGCAGGACATTCTTTTGCAATGCGGCATTTTGGTTTGGTGTTTTGGGGTTTTTGATTTTTTCAGGCATTGCTTTGGATTTGATACTTTGCACAGACTGAAATTCCCCTCTTCTTTAAATGCTGAAAAGTCCAGATTGGGGAACAGCTAGTGGCAAACGTAGCTATTTAAAGAGGAGTAATGCCATCTTGTTGTGACAGAAGTTTGCAGAACTGCCTTCAGCCTCATGCTCTGCTGCACTTCTACCCTAAGGCAATAGTTTCTGATATTCGGCCCAAGTCTTGTGTTTCAATCTACACAGTAATTGGTCTTTGAAGAGACATTGAATTAATAGTGTTTCATTCCTTGCTCACTCACTTGAGAGCACAGGGAAGTTTCTTGTGCTCAGGCACACATTATATCTCATGTAGGATTTTTTTGGCAGTGAACATGTGTGTAGTGAAGGTAGCTACTGGCTTTATCACCATGGGGTAGGCAGAAGACCAGTTGGACATAGTCTAGAGGATAGCAGCGGGGACCAGACGTACAGAAGAGAGGAGGCTGGGGGTAGGCAAAATTTTATGCCTTTAAATTTATAAAAGGTAGCAGAACTGAGAGAGATGAACTGTTTTCAAGGGAGAAGAAGCAATGGGGTTACATCTCAACACAGAATAGTCTGTTGCCCAAAAGCATGTTCAGCCCAGTCAGCTGCATTTCCCTCCAAGGGTCAGTGTGATTAAAGGCTGGTCATCTTCAAAGGCTTCACTGATGGAGCCAGCACTTTGCTAACGAGAAGTTCAGATTCAGCCCTGCTCAAAAGAGTCACTGATGGGCTGCATCAGCAGGGGAATCTCATTGTTCCTGCCTCAGTGCCATCCCAGGAAGGGACTTACCTTCTTCCTCTTCCCCAAGTCATCCTGTCCTGCAGGGGTTTCAGTAGGGCTAAACTGGAGCCACTTCAGGGATCTGCTGCATTATCTCTGCACCACTGCTCTGGGGAGGGGAGGGGAAGAGGTGCCCTTTAAGGAGCATTCACAGCCTCTTTCGTAGGCTGTGGCTTGGGGCCAGGCGTGACCAAAGCCTTGTCCAACAGCCCAGAGGCTTGGCTTCCTTTTCTGCTGGCTTTTGTGTTTACCAGGCTTGAAACTCATTTGAATCTACCACTCTGTGGTTGTCATCCTGAGATTAGTTTAATGTCAGAATTGAGAGCAGATGTACCTGTAGGAGGATGTCGTCTGTTATCTGCTCCATTAGCACCAGCAACTCTTCAAAAAGATTTTAATGATAAATGTCTAAAAGGCCTATTGTGTCTCCTGTTCTATGGGAAACCACCAACCAGGACTATATTTAGCTGTGGTTACCAGCTGAGATATTTAACTGTAGGCACAGTCACGTAGCATGTGGGTTTTGTGTTTGTCTGACCTCAGGTAACTGAGTGGAAGGGCCCCACGTAGGCTGCTCTCCTGTGGCCATGGCTGAGCTCGCCCTGCCCCAGCTTGTGCGCACGTTCTGCGGCTGGTGCAGGTGAGCTGCTGGCTCTGTCTGCATGTATGGGGCAGCTGGAAGCATCAGATCTTCAGATCAGATGGGGAGGTCAGACTAGATGACCTTGAAGGTCCCTTCCGACCCAGATGATTCTATGATTCTATGATCTCCATGTGCACTTTGTGTGTGTACATATGCTGCTGTGGGTGCAAGACATGGGCCATCCATTTCTCTCTGCCCAAGGGAAGGTGCAGAATAGCAGAGAGTGTGCCAAATCAGGGAGAGTCTTTTGCAAATCTGGCAGGTACCATCTCTAATGCTAACTTAAACATGCTCATAGGCATTTTTGACTCTGCCAAGCTGAGGGGAGCAGGTGCTTGTTTTCAGATGCATTGCTGGGTGGACTTCCTGCCTATGTGTGCTCAGCCAGAGGACTCTGGAGACCATTTTCAACATAGCAAAATTCAAGCCTCTTGTAGAGGCTTCCAAAATCGTTTCAGTGGGCAGTGCTAGGATAGTACCTGCTGGAGCATGATTCATGCAACTTATGCTTTGAAGCATGCAAAACTTACATCCTCCCACTGATTCCCTGTGTGACATGAACACTCAATTCATTGCCAGTAGTTTCTGAAGGTGTCGTTTAATCTGCCCCTCTTGATTTCATTGTCATCGCAGCACAGTGATGTCCTACAATTGCCTTTTTTGAGAAGTCTGCAGCAGCAGCCAGTGAACAGAGCGAGGCAGTGTCTACAGAGTTTGCAGCCTTCCCAGGGCATCCCAAGGGTCAAGAGTTGAGACGCCCTCATTCTCTTCCTCCCTTCCTTGTATTTCTTTCTTACAAGTGTGTGAAGTTTCTTCTGAGTGACCAGGCAGAATTATTTGGGTCTTTCCACACAGTGTGCAGGGGGCTTGCACAGAAGAAGCCTGCCCGATGCGTACAGCTTCCTTACACTGTAACATCTGCTGATTTCAGGAATGAATAACTGACCGTCTTATTCCCATTAAATATTTAAAGCAACTTCTTTGTGAGTTTGCCAGGTGCCCTCAAACATGGCTGGTTTGTTTTCAGTGAGCAGACACAAAACACTCTAGGGTACTATGGATTTCCTCCCTGAATATTAAAGCTGTTGCTATGGAGATAGCTTATTCCCGGGGTGTTTGAAGCACTCTGAGTAGATTTGAAGGCTAATCCCAAGGCTTTTACATAAGCAATAAAGTGTAACAAGCACCTCTGTCAAAGAGGTGGAGATCTTGTTCTGGCTCCCATGACTGGCTGTAGGAGTCCTGGTTGCCCCCTGCAGACCAGTGGATTATCGTGTGGGTCACTGGGAAACTTGACGTTTTGAAATGGCCAATTTGTTTGGTGAATCCATTTAAGGGCCCTTTGAGAAAGGAAAACTGGGAGCTGTTGTCTCACATTGCTAGTGTGTTGTGGGGCCTGTTAAGTACTTAGGAGAATTGTGACCAAGCGCAATAAAATCCAAAGCAGTGTAGCACCCTACATAAGAGCTGCTTGGTTAAAATATGAGGTATAAATGCACCAATCACCACATTTATCTTAAGGTGAAATTATCCTCTTACCTTATGTTGGTCTTTAGAGGAGAATGGAGGTTAAAAGTGAATTATTTATGGATCTGAGGGACTCTTCTGCCCTGTGATCACATTGCTAAAAGTGTTTTAAAGTGTGCATTTACTTTGTGGTCTCTGGTTCTGCTCATGTGCTGCTTTTTGAATGTGTGCTATTCACATGGGACTTTTAAATTGTTATTTATTGCTTCAATCTCCTATATTAATACCAGGTCACCTTCAGAATACTTTACAGACATTTTAAAACAATCAGCCTAGCCCATTAAATACACTGAATGTCATATTTCACCTCTAAATACTAAATCAAATTGATAACAAATTTAGGTAGTGCAGTAGCAGTTAAGGTCCATTTCAAGATGTTATACCAATATGTTGCATGTCTGGTTCAATTTTGAAGTTAATGCAATGATAAAACTGTACCTGTACCAGAGTGTTTAGAATCGAGCCAGAAGCTCTGTACATCTGCTGCCACCCCTTGTGTCATCAAAAATGATGTTTCTACCAAATACTGTATCATTGATATGTGTTTACTGCCCCTCAAGTGTTTTTTCAGACACTGCTCATAGCGGGGCACATGTTTTAAGTGCCAAGTCAGGTTAGGCCAGATGAGCATCACATTGCTTCTCATGCAGTGGGAAGCTGCCTTTTCTGTAGGGTATGAAGCCAGCTCCTCTGTCCTCTGAGGTTTCCCTAACTGAGGGTGTTGCTGCACAAATTCTAGAGAGGATCCAGACCTTCAGGAAAGCTGTGTTGGAGCTACTTTCCACAGTAAACCTGGAAAAAGGATGGAAAACATCAGCGTTGTACCACAGAGTTTGTAACTTAGGGAAAAACCTGGACTTGGCAACAAATGATAGAATGTATCTAAAATTATGTGTACACATACATACTTGGGAGGAAAACGAAACAGAAAATCTGAAAGGTGACAGTTTTTCTTGTGAAACAAAAATATTTTTGTAACAATGGTCTCTGTTCCTTTTATGCTAATCTGCTCTTGCAGTCACTCAAGATGATGTCATAGAAAAGAAGCCTTTTTATTATCACTTGGAGGGCAAAGACAGCCCAAGAAATAAACTGGTAGAAGAAGCCTTTCAAAGATCTTATGCAAATTACTTACTTGCCTTTTTTTCTCTCCTTCCTTTTTCCTCTTCTCAGGTTACGAGGGTGTTTCCGAATTTTTCTCAGATCTTCTGAACCACATAGCTGCTGTCCTGCAGGGTCAGGTACCTGAGGTGACCCAGCTAAACCGCAGCAAGCTCCTGGCAGAGCAGACCGGCGGGATGATGGACGAGCGGATATGCTGCGCCAGCACGGGATGTCTCGGCGTCATGGGAAAAGACTCCTCCTGGATTGTGGAAAGCGAGACCAACAGCTCAGTAAAACTGCAACACCAGAGACTAGGCTGCAACTCGGCAGTGTCCCCCAGCTTCCAGCAGCACTGCGTCGCTACGTTGGCAACAAAAGCTTCTTCTCAATAACTTGCCGATGCCACGGACTGAGAAAAAGCCACAGGGATACAAATTGTGGTCCCAGAACCAGATCAGGCTGTAACAATACAATTGCGAAAAATGAAAAAAAAAAAAAAGGCAAAAGAAAAAACCAACAACACAAAACACAACACAGAAAAAGCAGAATAAAAAAAAACCTTCCATTTGATTTAACCTGATTTGCTGATGAAATGGACTGAAAGGTGGAGGTCAAGAAAGAGATTCAGATCCATTTCATCAGATTCCAGTTGCAAATCTGTAGTGAGTTTACACACACGTGGGTTTTAACACTAGTCCTTTCATTGTGGGAGGGTTGCTCTTTCATTTCTATTATTCTTTGTAATCACTGGTGACCAGCATTTTAAAATCGGACCTCATGGTATCAAGAAGATGGTAATGTTGAAATGCAGTGTCTGAATGTAACAGTGCTAGAGATTTTTGCCTAAAATATTGCCTGTTCCCTTTTTTCAGGTAGACCATTGCAAAAGAAAGCTAAGACAACTTCAGTATCACTAATCCAAATCCCTGGAAACATTGACCAGTCCAGATGTTGACAGGTAGCTTGCTGTGAAGCCGTAGCACTGTGAGTGGGACAGAGCAGACTGGATGTCCAGGGTACAGAGCCGAGGTGACCGCCCTGGGTCCAGCTTTGCAGTTCTTCCCCCAGGCCTCATCGCTGCAGCCAAAAGCAGCTTCTAACCCCGCTTGCCAACAGCAACGCGTGTTTGATCCGGACAGGGTGCTGATAGTTAGGCTGAGTGATTTCGTAGATTAAATATCATCGTTTCAATCATCTGCTAGTGGTGAAATCCTAGAAGAATTAATGGAAGCAGCTCATTTCTTAGCAGAGAATTTCATTCTCCTTCCATTGCACTTACAAGGACTGTGGGACAGCTCTGCAAAGAGCTGCGTGTGTTCCTTGGGGCACCTGATCTGCAGATCCTAGGGGCTAACACAGTAGCTGCCTTCCACAGATCCATGCTGCTGTGCATTTTGTTGTTCTTTTGCAAATTAAGTATAAGCAGAATTGTGTACCTTCGTATGAGGTAGAAGTACACCACAGCTCTAGCTCAGAGACCAAGTTACTTCGTTGCAAGCTGTCAGATGAGGCCATGTGGTAATTTACAATAATGCTTTATACTATTAGCAAACTATAGCATATCCAAATTGTATCTGTTGAGATACGCGGTAAACCTACAGTGTTCACCCTCTATTGCATCTTGTAGCATGGCAGCATCTTCTGCTGTTGAGAATTCCTGAAACTTTTGCCAATTCTGAACACTAAACCGAAATATCCAAGTCTGTCAGCGCTGAGAATGGAGACACTATTTTGGTAGGCTGAGTGGCCTTCCCTTCCCCATATAAACCCTAAAATACATTTTAGAGATGTGGTGTTAAGAACCTTAATTTCCTTAGTTAAGCTCCTAGCTTGCAGATGTGGGAATTTCTGTCTTTCTATAGCAGGTATGTGTAAAGCATCCATCGCTGCAGCGTTTAATACCAGTTTGATTAGTATTTTGTTAGCTATCTACTCAAAAGGAAAGGATCTAGAGCTTAAAGCCCAGGTAGACTGTGAAGAGAGGAGTAAACTCTGTAGAAGATGTTAACACCCTACCTGATGGTACCAGTCCCAGAGGGGAGAAAGTTTTGAAGAGTGTTGTGCAGCAGTTCTTTTGTGTAAACAATGGCTTTTCCTTAGGAGAGGTGGAGTTTGTTCCCTAAATGCCATTCTTGGGAATTTCCTGTAGCCGGGATTGGATTTTCGAGCATGATTTAAGAAGAGATTATTCTACTGCTAGAGCGATTACTAACCTTAAGGTATTTCTGTAGGGACTGGAGTGTGGTGTTGGTCAAATTCCAGGGTGCACGTAAACGCAGCCAACATCCTGGGCTGTCGCAGGTCAGTTCTGGGCTGGGTGCTCTTCACAGCCCTCGTGTGCTTTGAGGCTGCTGGATCCCATGCCATTTGCAGCTCACAGGTCTCGGGTGGTTGTGGTAGGATTGAGTCAGATGTACATAGGTAAGGGTTTATAAAAGTATTGGTGATAGACCAAACCTTTCGTAAAGCCATGACTGAAATAAAATTGACATCTACAGTTTGAGGTTTGTTTTTGTTTGTTTCAAATAAAAAGTGTTTTTATGTTACGTGTGTAACAAAAGATACCCTCAGGAAGGAACTTGCCAGTGCATATTTTTGTATGGTACTTTCTTGTAACCAGCTGGTGGAGTGTTTGTAGACTTGCCTTTTGCTCCCTTTATTACAATGGCTTGGGTTTTTGGGGGGGTTTTCTTTTTGGCTTTTTGGGTTTTTTGGTTGGTTTTTTTTTTTATTGGGTGGTGGGAAAGAAGCAATGATGTTAAAACTGGGTTAGTAACTCAAGACCTTTCAAACTAAGTATGTTTACATGAATCTGAGTGTTGGATCCAATGGAAATGTCTGTATGCTGTTTCCTAGTTAGAACATCAAATAAGAATTTTATTTTCCTGGCTGCCTTCTGAATTTTGGTTGGCCTATTTTGCACTGCTTTATTTCTCCAAAATAAACTACTGAAATATAATTGTGCATTTTAAACTTGTTTACAAATGATTGTTAGAAGTTTATTTTTTAATTCTCTGAAGGCTTGCAGAAATACTATATTTAAATATTACTCCAGACCTTGGCAGTAACTAGAAAACAAGTTTAGGTCATTGGTGTGATCAGTGACATATTTCCCATAGTCTGTAATTTATTTTTTATTTATCAAATGTATTGGTATCACTTTGATTTACCAGGTGCAGATATGCAGGTACCTGTTGTGATGTGGCATTACAATAGAGTTTTCACATAAATTACCATGCAATTGCTGTACTACTATATTTCCTTGCAGAAATTATTATTGTGGCTCATATACTAGAATGTTGCTAAATCACAGGGGCAAATCAGGAGACCAACTTTTAAAAGCCAAAATTGTAAGTTACCAAGCATCCAGACATACAATTACATTATTGCAAAACATTCGAGCATGTGTATGTTATTAAGCCTGTGCTAAAGTGCTTTTCTGAGTTGCCGCCTCGTTTGATAAGTTCAGAATAGCTTTGATTTAAGATAAGCTTCACAGTAATTTAGTTAATATTCTGTAGTCTTGTCTTCTTTTGTAAAAGTAGAGGAGTCTAGTAATATTAGACCATACCAGAATGCCCTTGCTCTTAAAATTGCAGACAATCTAAGGGAGATTTTCCATAATGTCTGTTTGAATTTTGTTATTGTGTGTTAGGAAAGGTTCTGCCGTGTTTTCAGGGGCATAGCTATTATTGCCGTGTTGATGGGAGCAATTATGTTAAAATTACATGGTCACCAGTTAGCTTCTTAGGGATCTGTTTCTGTTCTGCTTCACTGTTAGAAATCCACAAGAACACCATCACCCTGCCTGAAATTTCTCCAGGTTTTGTGTCAGCGTGATGGAGGAGACGGGACGCTGGTTTCCACTGTAATTATGTGATCGGCTTCGGCAGGTGAAGATTTTTCCCTGTTGAGGAGAATGTGAGTGGTATTATCACTGCCTGCCATGTAAAGCCATCGCCGTCATCCTCCCCCCTGGCTGACTTTGCCGTGTTACGCTTGGGTTTGCAATGACTGTACCAGAACATCCTGATCCGTACGTGAAAACCAACTGCAGAAACGCAGCCCGGCTGGGAGCATCCGTGCTGGCACCTGTGGTTTGTGTAACACAGAACTACCGCTGGGCCCACGCTCTTCTGCCTTTGGTTACCCACGTGTCTGGCTGGTCAGCCTTTGTGCTGTAGAAGCCAGTTGACCAGGCTGGTTGGTAGAAAGGATGCACTATTTTGATTAATGCTATTCAGACTGTTGGAATGGTAAAGCTGTTTGAAGATCTCCATCCTCACCATGGGAATGTTTGTGCAGAGGAGGTCTGCAGCAGGTTGCTCAGATGGAGAACCACCAGTTTAATTTGTTTTTTATAGATGAGTACAAATTAGGAACCCAACCGTGGGGCTTCACGAGGTAACATGGGTTGCTCAAGATAAAGCCTCAGGTTCTCCAGATAAACTGCGGGCTGTATCCAGCCAGGGAACAATCAGGTGGAGTAGTGGATAGATAACAGAGGCAGGATACAGTCCAAAGGCAACAGAATAAATGGGGCCAGAGGTGTTTGAATTGGCTGGCAAAAAGGAGAGAAACAAAGGAAAAATGCTTCTGTTGTTTTCATCCAAAAAAAAAATCATCCAGGCTCATCAGTTTTTAGACTAACACTGGTTTCCCAAAGTCTTTGCGTGGCAGCAGTGAGTGACAAGTGAGTCAGGCTTTTTCACACTAGCTTGCAGCCTTGCCTTCCACAGCTGTGTGGAAAATCTTGGATTTTGGTTTTATAGTGAATAGAGTCTATTTTGAGTTTGTAGCAGTCTCCCCATGCGCACACTTGCAGGAGTTCACTTGCATTACCCTGCTAATTTCCTTTTCCTCTCTCCTTTTTAGTAAGAGATGTATTGATTTCTGTATTCAGTATAAAATTACTTTATGGTGTTGCAACTGTGTGTTTTGTAAGTAGGAGTATGTGAAAATGCTTTGTGTAGATTAAAATATTTCCTTTAATATAATCTCCTCTCACTTTCATAGATAAACAGACACACGTTGCAGATCACATTGTTGATTTTATTTGTACTATTGCTTTAATATCTATTTCAGAGGAATGTAACCTCCAGAAAAGTACTTTCCACATCTTCACTACCTTTCCTTTCCCTGTTCCCTTGGTGTGGATCCAGGCCATCAACTCTTGATCTTTTGACCAGATGGGTTTCAGATCCTCCTTGGATTGTCATGTTTACATGACCACAGAAATTATTAAAGACTGTTGAAGTTTGAGAGGATCCAGGTATAAATGGAGATGTTAGAGTGATTCGTCAGCAACACAAGCACAATAGCACCTTTAGCAAGCACAAGGAATCGTTCTCGCTGGGTGCGTGTAGGTGGCTGTTGGGATCTGGTCCACCCCTGCTCCTGGGGTGGTTTTCTGTGGAAGAAAAAAATCCAGTGTAAGAAGACATCCTGTATCTGTGATGCGGAAGGAGAGTGTGGAGAGATAGGGCTCTGGAGTAAAACCCTGGCCAGTGGACATCATGCTACCAGTGGGTCAGGATTCCGCTCCGCCTTTTTTAACAGCAGCCTGGGGAGATATTTTCTCTTTCTCTCCACCTTTCTCACCCTGAATCCACTGGGGATGATGCTGGCAGATGCCTGTGGGCCGCAGGAGCTCATTAGCAGGTGACCTTCCCCAGCGTGCCATGAGAACTGCCAGTGCATAGGGAAGTTTTTGTTGATGGCCTGGAAATCTCTTGAAACTCCAGAAATAGCTGAAAGAGTGAATGGATTTAGTGCAAATCAGGTCTTCCTCTTCTATCCTTTTTAAGAAAATCCACATTTTATTTCCTCCTTCGTTCTTTACACAGTAGTTTTTAGATATAAATTATTTTAACATTTTTTGTGTGCAAAGTCATATATACATATATGAAGTTATTAAAAGGTTGAGTATATGTTGAGTATAAAATAGTGACTTCTTTGTTTCAGATGTTAGCAGCCCCTAAAAATGAGTTGTTTATCCTCTTGTAAAGTCAGTGCTGTAAAAAAAAAATATTAAAAATAAAAGATGTATTAGATGTATCTTTTATTATTTATTTCTGATTCAGTATTCGATACAGCTTGTGTATACCCTTGTGAGAACCACGTACTAAAATCCAGTTGTTCTTAAAATGGAGTAACAACAATTCCTTGGGATCCCAACAATTTTGAGAAAATTGTTCCCCCGGGTGTGAATAGTGTTGGATATCACCGTTTGCTCTCCCGCGTCGCTCCCCACCTAAGCATGGCTGAATCTTGGGGACCATTTTGCGTATGTGCTAAGTTTTACTAGTTCATCGATAACTATGTTCAAATCCAGCTGTACAGTGTTAACGAGTGTGTCGTGTGATTCACTTCAGCCTGGTTCACTGATTTCTGAAACGTAACTCCCATTTTGTACTTAAATTTGTATAGAATGATATAAACCCTTAAAAGATCATGGCTTACTGTAAAAACCAAAAATACTTGCTCTTTGGCATCTTCAATTGCATGACTGATCAGATCTGACAATGAAGATGGTGCTTTCATCTAACAGCTTTGATTTCAATGGTAATATATTCATTTTGTTTTCATTTGCCAAGCACCTGTTTTGGACAATGTTTTGGTTTCAACAGTAAAGCAATATGCAGTACGTATTGTGGCATTATCTCTGTAATTGTTTTAAGACAGAATTGTCCCTTTCCAACACGTAATGAAAATAAATGCCTTATAACAAGCTCTACTTTGCTTTCTCTTTATGAGCGGGTGGGGCAGCGAGGGGAGCAGCTCAGTGGGGGAAGCCTGTTTTTATGAGAATTTAGTTTTCACATCCTTGATTTTTTGCAGTTAGTTTTTGCCTCTTTGTACCAGCAAGGTTTGATGTGATTTCTAACGCTAGTGGGAAGTCAGCTATTTTTATCTTACTATGTAACGCAGCTAAACATAACTGGGATTTGGGCTACTCTGTACTTAAGCATTTATTCCTAGCGTGGGCTGATTCTTCTTGCATCATCCTGAGTAGGGAATTCTTGATTTCTCAAAACCCAGGAGGATTTTCAATCAGGACCCTGTTTTGGCTAGTGCAGGAAAGATGGATATCTGGCCCAGCAGCATTAACATTTTGCTAAGCAACCAGCCCGCTCCGCAAGGCGCGTTGGTGTAAACACCGCCTGGGGATCAGCGCCTGGTGCCAGCCCCAAGGCCAGGCCCTGCGGTGGGGAGCTCATTTCCCTCAGCCTGCTGGCCACACTGCTTTTGATGCAGCCCAGGGTACAGGTGGCTTTCTGGGCTGTGAGTGCACATTGCCAGCTCATGTCCAGCTTTTCATACCCCCAAGTACTTCTCGGCGGGGCTGCTCTCCATCCCTTCATTCCCCAGCTTGTACTGACACTGGAGATTGCCCCAGTCCAGGCGCAGGACCCTGCCCTTGGCCTTGTTCAGCCTCATGAGGTTCACACAGGCCTACTTCTCAAGCCTGTCCAGGTCCCCGTGGATCCATCCCCTCCCTCAGGTGTGTCAACTGCACCACTTAGCTTGCTGCCATCTGCAAATCTGCTGAGGAGGCCCTCAATCCCACTGTCTGTGGGGGGCTGCTCTCCATCCCTTCATTCCCCAGCTTGTACTGACACTGGAGATTGCCCCAGTCCAGGCGCAGGACCCTGCACTTGGCCTTGTTCAGCCTCATGAGGTTCACACAGGCCTACTTCTCAAGCCTGTCCAGGTCCCCGTGGATCCATCCCATCCCTCAGGTGTGTCAACTGCACCACTTAGCTTGCTGCCATCTGCAAATCTGCTGAGGAGGCCCTCAATCCCACTGTCTGTGGATGAAGATATGGAACAGTACTGGTCCCAGTACAGACCCCTGAGGAACACCACTCATCACCAATCTCAAAGGACTTTAAAGTAAGTAAGGCCTTAGGTCCCAAATGTTTCTGATTACTTGAATATCAACTTAAGACAATATTTATAGTAGCTCAGTGAAATAACATTTTTTTCCTCCTGTGGATTTTGCAGCAGCAATAGGCAAGCTCTGTCTGCTGCCTCATGATAAAACTTGTGTGACTCCTTTGAAGATGGCTGTGTTTCTCTGCTGGGTTGTTTGGTTTCTTGGGGATGAGTTGTTTGTTGTTTTCTGTTTGTTCGGGTTTTGTTTTGTTTTGGCAGGGGTGGGGTGAGGTGGGTGGCTGTGGTTTTCTGTGAATTTCTTGTGACATGTAGAGCTGAGTGTCTAAGGGGTTGTGTGGGTGATGTTACCAGCAGAGACGCTGCCACAAAAAAAAAGGAGACATTAAGTACAATATTCAAATTCAAATTTAAATGAAGATGGGTATGTAAAATGTGACTTTTACAGCTGGATTAACTCTCTAATAACTGGCATATAAGTACTGTGTCCTTGGAACATCTGCGCTTTCATTTCTGTTCCTATGTGCATTTCCCTGAGGTTAATGAGTGCGATCTCCTCAGGATGGGGTTGGGAGACTTGCACCTCGTCCTGGTGCACTTTCCCCAGCCAGGCTCGCCCCCTGTGCCTTGTCCCGGCTTGCACCCTGTGCCAGGGCAGCTTTCGGGCTGTACCTCAGCCTCGCCGCCTCCTCCTGCTGCTGTGCGGCTGCCGGGGCTGGGGTCGAGGGGCACTGCCCACTCAGCAGCTCTCCCTGGGTGGGAGACCACCAGTTGGGTGGGTGGAGGACAGCTCTGGACACCTGGTATCTCCTGCACTGAGGGGACCCTGCACACCCACCTCCAGGGCAATGCACTCTACAGGCCAATGGCACCGATGTTTTTAGCAGACTAGAAGAAAATGTCAAGTTCAAAGGGTGGTGGCCATTTCCTGAGCATCTCAGCTGTTCTGTGGGCTGCAGGTGATTGGGGACAACTGATGAACCGGTGGGTGGGATACAGCCCTTGGCAGTGGGATGATCTTTTGCTCTCCTGCTGATACACATAAAAAGTCTAAAATCCTATGATTGGTGTTCAGAGACTTTGGGGGCAAGCTTGCCCAGCCCGGGCACCAGCTGGTCTTCCAGCCAGCATGTGGCCTGAAGCCCAAGGGGTGGGGGATGTTGTGCCTGTTAGTGCTGTGCCAGCTGGCCACCATGGCTCCTGCAAGCCAACACACAGGAGGGATGGCCCCTCAGGACCAACCTTCACCTCTGGGGGAACACAGACCAGCAGTTTTCCTCCTGTCTAACCTATTTGCTATGGGTATCCCCCATGCTGGGCCTTGGTGGGCAGCAGTATTGGAGCCTGGGGAGGGAGGGAAACGCCATTGCAATGTGCCTGTGGGAAGGGGAGCCCTCCATTCCCCCTCCTCTCTGCTGGGACCTCACAAGCCCTGCAGCATGGTGACGACCGAGACAAGCTGCCAAAACAAAGGAAGGAACCCACTGCAGTTTTATTTTTCCTTAGATAAATTTTTTATATAGAATATATTACAGTCAGAGTTCTCAGCTTTTAATCAAAAGATAACAAGTTATTGCAGTTTGTTTACCCAGTGAAACTACCAGTGGAAGGAGAACTTTCTAGAAAGCTGTCTTGTCTTTTCTTAAAAAAAGAGGGAAAAAAACCCCCACCCGGACAGAAAAATACACGTGTGGGTTGCATTCTGTGCCCACCAGCGCCCAGCCGGGCGGGTGGGCATCCCTGTGGAGAGGGGAGCGTGAGGTGGAGAAGCGGTGATGGGCACAACACGATGGCGAGGGAGGCAGGCCTGGGCGCTAGCGAGGTTGGTTTCCTAGGCACGATGCTTCTGCTCCGGCTTAATTGCTTTTACATCGGGAAACGATAATGTGGTGGGGAGGGAGGAGGGCGGCGGCGGCTGTCGCCTGGGCAGGGAGGGCTGGGGCCCTCAGCCTCGCCTCAGCTCGTGCAGCTTGTGGGCGACACGCTCCAGCTCGGCCTCGATGGCGGCCAGGCTCTCCAGCTCCTGGTCCTGCAATGAAAGCCCGGGACACGCGTCAGCAGCCATGACTGGGCAGCCCTTGCCCCTCCAGAGCTACAGAAAGCCTTGCCCAGGGCTAGCTGCCAGGGACGGCATGAGCACAGCCGCATCTCATCCTGTGCCTTCAGCCCGCTCCTCTGGACAGGTGTTGTCCATGTACAACTCTGATTAGTCCTGTCCTAATGTTAGATGGCTGCAGCTGGTGATGGGGACAAACACACCATCCCTATCCTTCCCCAGCCCCGCTGCCAGGTGGGGCAGACCCTGAGAGGTCTCTCTCTTGGAGTGTGGGGCTGGAGGGAGATGGCTGCCGGGGAGCTGGGCTGGGACAGGCACAGCCGAAAGGCGCCAGCGCCTGTGGTGAGGCAGCGGTGTCAAACCAGGATGGGGACGGGTGGCTGCAAGTGGAGAAGACAGCGTTGTCCCCTCTCCTCATGTTGTGCTGAGTGTCCACATCCACCTCTGGTACCAGAAGAGGCTTTTTCACTTGGGAAAATAGTGACTGAGGAAGCTGTTTAAAGGCTCAAGATGCCCATAGAAAGGCTTGGTGGCCTTTCTATAGCGGCTCCTGTGCATCTATGCAGTCACCTGTAGCTAGGAACAGGAACTCAAACTCATAATTGCATGGCTTTGCCCAAATTCCAGTTATACACAACTGGCCCTCTCTCACTGCCAGCACCAGCCCTGCCTGCCCCTCACAGCTGTGTCACCTGGGGCTTGCCCAGGGCAGCAGCAGGTTCTGCGGGAGCAAACTCAGGGCTGTTGTGGCTAAAGGTGCCTTTTTCTGCTGGCGGAACTGAGGTGATGGCCCCTCTCCTGTGTGGAGGGAATGGAGCTATGCTGGCCACCAAGCACGGACTTGGAGGGGCTTTGGGACACAAGACTTCAGAAACAGCTCTGGTCACCACGTCCAGCACAGACCAGTGCAAAAGTCTTGTCTCATTTGTAAGACTGTCTCAGGTAGGGGATGTTTTTGCACCAATCACTAAAACAAGGAAAAAACCCAAAGGCACAGATAGGTGCAAATCTCAGTAATACCTAGGGCTGAATGGCTAAAAGGTCACCAAGCATCTCCTTAATGTCACAGGGAACCGATGCCGGCTGCATAATGCCAAGGTACTATCCATATCTCCAAGCAGAGTTTGGATTCTCAAGTAATAACTGGGTGGAATTTTTTCTTAAGGCTACGTACACCAACCTCCGTTCTCCTGTTAGCGCTGCCTTCCTCATCCTTCTTTTCTTCGGGCATGGGAGCAAGTGGGAAGCCTCCTTCACTGCTGTCCTCCTTTGAGTGATGCTTCCACGACCTTCTTATGTCTTCCTCTGGACTACTGAAGTCATACTTGCGGGACCTGAACACCATTTTCATGGACCTGTCTGGGTCTTCCCCACTATCATTTTCCTCCATGCGCTTCTTCGATGTCAGCTGTTTGGCCAGCTCATCCATTTTGTTCCACCTCTTGGAATCTTCCCACTCCCTGGAGGACTCCTCCTCCATCTCTTCACTTTTGGCATCCCTGGGCTGGAATGTGTCCTTCTCCCCCTGGATCCCCTCATCCTCCAGGCGATGCCTTCCTCCTCTCAGTGCTTGGGGCTGCTCTTCCTCCTCCTCCTCCTCAGAGCTCTGCCCATCTTTGCTAAATCCCAAAGCATCATCGTTATCTGAAAGAGCATTAAACACAACAGTAAGCACAACTGTTAGTCTGGTTACGCTCCACCTTTGAACTGAGCCTTCAGGGGTGATGCAAGGTGGGTTTCCTGACTTAGGCCCATTTTCCCAGGATTCTGGAAATACCTA